GTGGAAAGAGACGATGGAAAAGCTCAATATCATCAGTCAGAACAAGGCCAGGGGCCGACTGTGGATCAGACCATCAATTGTCATATGCAAGTTCAAGTTGAAACTGAAGAAAATTAGAACAAGTCCACGAGAGCCAAAGTACAACCTTGACTATATCCCACCTGAATTTAGAGACCATCTCAGAAATAGATTTGACACATTGAACACTAATGACCGAAGACCAGACGAGTTGTGGAATGATATCAAGGACATCATACATGAAGAAAGCAAGAGGTCATTAAAAAGATAGGAGAGAAAGAAAAGACCTAAATGGATGTCAGAAAGGACTCTGAAACTTGCTCTTGAACGTTGAGTAGCTAAAGCAAAGGGAAAAAATGATAAAATAGAAGAGCTGAACAGAAGATTTCAAAGGGCAGCTCGAGAAGACAAAGACCTGGAGATAGAAAACCAGCAGGGAAGAACACACACTTAGCATTTCTCAAGCTGAAACAACTGAAGAAAAAATTCAAGCCTCGAGTTGCAATACTGAAGGATTCTACAGGAAAAATATTAAATGATGCAGGAAGCATCAAAAGAAGATGGAAGAAATACAGAGTCACTGTACCAAAAAGAATTGGTCAAAATTCAGCCATTTCAGGAGGTAACATATGATCAGGAACCTATACTACTGAAGGAGGAAGTCTAAGCTGTACTGAAGGCATTGATGAAAAACAAGGCTCTGGGAATTGCCAGAATACCAGTTGAGATGTATACTTGATAAGATTGTATATTCTCTCGTTGAGTGGAGTATTATATAAATGTATTTAGGTCAAGTAGGTTGATACTGTTATTCAGGTCTTAAGTATGTTTGCTGGTATTCTTTCTCCTTGTTCTATCAGTTACTGGTAAAGGAATGTTAAGGTGTCCAAGTACAATTGTAGGGTGGTCTATTTTTCCTTTTAATTCTCTCAGTTTTTGCTTCATGTACTTTGAAACCCTATTATATGCATACACATTTATGGTTGCGTTGTCTTGTTGGTGAATTGGCTCTTTTATCATTATCATCTATCTTTGGAGCTATTCCTTGTTCTGATATCTGCTTTGTCTGATATTAATTTATAACCACTTACCTTTCTTTTGATTAGTGCTTGCATAATATATCATTCTCTGTCCTTTTACTTTTGACTTCCCTGTTAATATATTTACAGAGGTTTCTTGTAGATGTTCTATCATTGAGTTCTTTTTTAGATATAATCTCACAATCTCTTTTAATTGGTGTGTGTTATGGATTGAATTGTGTCACCCCAAGATATGTGTTGTAAATGCTAACATCTATGTCTGTGGTTATAATCCTATTTGGGAATAGATTGTCTTTGTTGTATTAACGAAGCAGGATTAGTGTACGATGTGTTTTGAGTTAATCTCTTTTCAGATATAAAAGAGATTAAACAAGCATGTGAAGGAGCCATGTGAAGATCGCCCAGGAGCAGAAGCTCAAAAGAGAGAAGGACCTTCAGAGAGAGAACGCTTTCTCCTAGAGTTGGCACCCAGAATTTGGACTGCTAGCCTCTGAAACTGTGAGAAAGTGAATTTCTATTTGTTAAAGCCACCCATTTGTGGTATTTCTGTTGTAGCAGCACTAGTGAACTAAAACAGTCTCTTTAGGCCATTTATATTTTATATAATTATTTATATGGTTGGATTTAGGTCTAGCATTTTATTATTTGTTTTCTGTTGGTCCCTTTGTTTTTTGTTACTTTGTTCCTCATTTCCTGCCTTCATTTGGATTGTTGTGAATGGTTTTTTTATATTGTACTTTAGCTTACTTATTGGTTTTTTTCCTGTATTTCTTTGTATTACTTTAATGGTAATTTAAGGCCTCTTTACTCTTCCTTCTTTATGTTACAGTTGTTATTTTTATTTCATCTACATACATTGAAAATCCTAGTACACAGTGTTATTTTTGCTTTCTACAGTCATAATGTAATTTAAAGACACAAGAGGAGAAAAATTTTATTTTCCCATAAATTTACTTTTTTTGACTACTCTTTGGGCTTTACTTGACAGCAGCGGGTTTGGTTTGATTTGGTTCCTTCATTCCTGAAGTTCCATGTTTCTTCTGGGATTATTTCCCTTTTTAAGAACTTTTTTTAACCTTTTTAAATTCTGTTTTTTAGGACTGCTGGCAACTAGTTCTCTTAGTTTTGTCATTTGAGGATGTCTTTAATTTGCTGTTCTACCTAATGGATATTTTCATTGGTTATAGAATTCTGGGTTAAGTGCTCTTTCAGCCTTTTAAAGATGTTGTTTTACTTTCTTCTGGACTTCGGTGGTTTCTGGTAAGAAATCCAGTCATTGAAATCATTATTCCCCTATATGTAATGTATCACTTTTCTCTGGCTGCTTTCGAGATTTTTATCTTTGGTTTTCAGCAGTTCGACTGTGATGTGTCTGGGCAGTTTGAGTTTTTCTCTTTTGGGTTTCACTGAGCTTCGTGAATCTGTAGATACGTCTTTCACCATATTTGGGAAGTTTTCAGCTATTTTCACTACATTAGTCTCTTTCTCCTCTTCTTTAGGATCCCAGTATCACAAATGTTAGACCTTTTGCTTATGGTCCCCGAGGCTCTTAATTTTTTTTTCAAATCTTTTTGTTTGTTTGTTTCCTTCAGATTATGTGATTTCTGTTGAGTTCACTAACTTTGTTCTGCCATCTCCATTCTGCTATTGAGCCTATCCAGTAAATTTTTTATATCTTAGATAATATATTTTTTTGCGCTAAAGTTTGCATTTGGCTCTTTTTTACAGTTTATCTTTCTGTTAAGAACTTCTTTTCATTTGTTTTAAGAGTGTTTTTCTTTACCTCACGGAACATGGTTATAATCACTTCTTTAAACTCTTTGATAATTCCCACATCTGGGTCATCTGGGAGTTTGGCATTTGTTGATTGTCTTTTCCCTTGGAAATTGGTTACATAGTTCTGGTTCTTTGTATATTGAGTAATTTTGGATTGTATCCTGAACATTTTAAATATTATGTGAGAACCTTTTAAAATCTTCTGAAGAATGTCAGTTTGTTTTGTTTTAGCAGACCGTAAATCCTGTTAGGTTCAGACAGCACTGTCTCTGCTTCTGTTGTCGGTGGTTCTAATGTCAGTGCAGTTTTCAAAACGTTTGCTGGGGGGATGCTTTATATCAGAGTTCATGTCTCAGAGCCTTTGCTGTGTTTTGGGACTGCCCCACACACGTACCTGCGACTTGTGTCGTTTTATACACAAAATTAGGGTATTCTCTTCTCCAGCTGCAGTTTCGCCTTTGGTATCTACTTCCTGGGGACCCTTTTCTCTGCTCTCTGACGCGAAAGACAGATTCCTCTCAGAGTGTTCGCTGCCAGTGCTACTATACAGTTGTATGCAACTGGGACTGTTCTCAGGACAAAGTAATGATAGTAAGGAGAGAGAAAAGTAACCCCCACCTTCTTCTGAGTACATTATCCCTTTTCTTGGTTTCTCTGGGTAGAAAAATGAGTTTTACATGCCCCTCCCACCACTATTGCTGGGAGAGTTAAAAAACAACAACAAAAAAAACAAAACTAGGATTTCCCTCATACATTCTGCTTACAGTGGCTCCTTTTTCTGGTACTCTGGCCAGAGACAAAACCTCTCAGAGTTTTTGTAGTGCATCCTGCTGTTTGGGTCTGCCCAGGGGCCACCCTTAGCTCACCCCTGTAAGGGATGTTCGAGTTTTGGCTCCTTCCTAATCTGCCCACTTTTTAACTTTTCAGAGTTAGGGCTTAAGGGTATAAGTTGGAATGTGAACATGAAAGTATGTAGGAAGATTAGGCATTTGCCTAAAAGACATATCCAATTAGAACTCTGAATTTACAAGTTTGAGTAGCAAGGATTCAGCTTCTGCATTATATGCTTGATATTTCAAACTTACAATTCCTAGATCCTTTTATTATAATCCAGTATGGATAACTTCAGTAATTGTGTAAGTATAATGGTAAATGAGTATACAAGAATAATGTGGTATAAGGGTCAGAACTGAAGTGCCATTAATATTGTTTTCATGTCTTACTACCATATTTTTCACAAATAGCACACTCATGTAAATAATGCATGCACACATGTCTCGTGTCATTTCCGAAACTGACTTTTGGCCTCGTTCACCCTCATTCAGTAGTCAAAAAATGTTACTTTTTATCATATTTCTATAATAAAAGTATAAGCCATGGTCAAGAAGTCATTGATCGAGTTTGGCAGTACCCCAGTAATCAGAAAATAAGCAATTGAAACTGTGCGTTTGTTTCTGTTAACTTAATAATTACATCCCTGTTGCTTTCGAGTCATCAATCGGAACCTTGAGCCTACTGACGCCTGTCCATAAATCACATGCTGTCAGTTGGAAGGGTGAACAATGTGAAGCCTGCACTGGCATAAATGGCATCAAGTAGCTATTAATAGGAATCTCAGTTCAGTCTGCATTGACATAATTGTGACAGTCTTCTGACTCTGGCTTTTAATTGGAAGAGATTGCTCTTGGCTCAACAGTTGAATGTTCAAACCTTATCAGATCATCTTAAGTGAAACCATTAAGCTATGTTAGGTCTGCTTATTTCATAGTCTAATTATGTCTTATTAGCACAAATGTCTTTGATCATAAGTCGCCTTGGTCATATGCTTGTGAGTATATAAAAGACCCTTACAAAGACCAGATTTACTGGCCTAAAGGAGACTGGAGAAACCTCGAGAGTATGGCCTCCAGACACCCTTTTAGCTCAGTGGTGAAGTTACCTCCGAGGTTCACCGTTCAGCCTGGGAGTGGACAGCCCTGTAAAACCAAATGAGACTAACAAGGTACAGGAGTCCAGTGACAAGGGCCAGAAGGCAGAAAGGGACAAGGAAGCTGGGATATTGTTGATGTGTTGTGAGATTGTTAACCATTGTCGTAGGGCAACATTTGTAGTAACTGTTAAATGAGAAACTATTTTGTTCTGTAAGCCTTCATCTTAAGTGAGAATAACAGCACAATTGTTAGAGCGTAGTCAATGTCACTGAACTGTGTATGTAGAAATTTTTGAAACTGTGTATCTTTGGCTATGTGTATTTTCACCAAAAAAAAAAAAAAGGTTGAGAATTTAGAGGGTTAATATGTTGTGGGGTTGTTAACCAATGTCATAAAACAACATGTGTACTACTGTTTCATGAGAAACTATTTGTTCTGTAAGCCTTCACCTGAAGTACAATAAAATAAAATAAAAATACCACACAAAAAAAAGACCCTCACTTCTTGTATACCTCACATTTGAATTTTGGCATCTCTTGAAGAAGTTCCCATGTTTTTTGACATTCCAGCCACCAGGACTGTAGCTGCTTCAGGTACAAAAACTGTAGCCATTACAACCACTGGGCACGAGAGGGCTGGCTTACTCTAGTCCTTGGTTGCACTGCTTGTGGGGTGAAATGAAAGCCAGTGGTGATTTTTTAAGAGAGTTACCATGCCCCACGAAAAACTGCCCACGAGCTTGGTGGTTCATTGTACGGTGGCCTTCCCTTATCCATGGTTTTGCTTTCTGCAGTTTCAGTTACATGCAGTCAACCACGGTCCGAAAACGTTAAATGAGTAGCGTGATGAAATCGCACGCAGTCCTGCCCCATCCCGCCTGGGGACCACACTTACATAACTTTTATTACAGTATATTGCTATAATTATTCTATTTTATTATTATTTATTGTTGTTAATCTCTTACCGTACCTAATTAATAAATTAAACTTTATCATAGGTATGTATGTATAGGACAAAACATAGTATATGTAGGATTCGGTACTATTGGCAGTTTCAGGTATCCATGGGGGAGTCTTGGAATGTATCCCCCGGGGACTACTGTAATAAGAAGGGGTGGGTGGACTGTGATGTTATGAAAGTATGGGTAGATAAATATTATAGGCAGGGGTGATGCTTTTTGGAGAAGTCTTTACTAATTTTTGACGCCATGGCCACTCACAGAGAAAAAAAGTTCAAAATTATATTAACTAGTGCCCATATAGCAGTCATACCTGGTGGCCTTACCAGCAAGCTGCAGCCACTAGATACAACAGTCAAGACTTTTTGTGAGAAAACAGTGGGATGAATGGATGAAGTCTGGAATTTATGAGTTCACACTACCAGGACAACTGAAGTGGGTGACGTTTGTGGAAGTCTCCAAGTGGGTGGCTTCTGCATGGGGGAAATTAATTCCAGAAACTGTCCACAATGGCTTCACAAAGGCTGGGATTGTGTACCAGCAGAATACAGATGATGAAGATGAAGACACTGAAGGCAGTGATGATAATGTCAGTTCAGAAGTCACAGAAGAGTATCTGTAGGCAGCTCTGAGATATTTCAGTGATGACAGTGACAAGGGATCAGACCTTGGAGGGTTCCGGGAGTCAGATGATGATGATATTAAACGAATAAACCAAAATCGCTTATTTTAAGATGAATATGCAGTTTCTTCTGGTGACTTTTAGTTGTTGATTTCAAAGACATTGATTATCAAAAACTGTTTCAGTTTAAGATTTATGGAAGCAATAAAAT